CACAAGAACAGAAAACCAAACACCGCATGTTCTCACTCATAGGTGGGAACTGAACAATGAGATCACTTGGACTCAGGAAGGGGAACATCACACACCGAGGCCTATCATGGGGAGGGGGGAGGGGGGAGGGACTGCATTGGGAGTTATGTTGATGGGTGCTGACGAGTTGATGGGTGCAGCACAGCAACATGGCACAAGTATACATATGTAACAAACCTGCACGTTATGCACATGTACCCTGGAACTTAAAGTATAATAATAATAATAATAAATAAATAAATAAATAAATAAAAAGAAATGTAAGTTGCATTAGTGTTCTAAATCCTGAATTAGATAATGGATTAGAAAAAGTTTACTATATTAAAGATTAAAAAAATATAAAAACAGAGGACTATTCATGAATGAAAAATGATGATGTATTTAAAAACCAGAGATCAAATAAAAAAAATTCAATTGCATGCATTTAAGATCCGACATCCAACAACAACAAAAGAGAGCAAAAAAAAAAAAACAGAGACAGAGAGAGAGAGAGAGAAAGAGAGAGAGAGAGAGAAAAAAAAACTAAAACATGGAGCCGCAGAATCGTGCTTGTTGAGGTTGGGGATTTTTGAGGCCAAATCTTCGATGGCTAACATGGGTCTTTATTTACTTGTTTGTTTCTTTGTTTATTTATTTATTTATTTAAAAATAAAGATTCACCTTGAATTCTCTTTATTGAAAGGTGGGAATGGGTTGGAGCGGGAGTAACATGGCCAAGTTTGCTTTTCCATAAAACTACTCCACTGTAGTGTGGAAACGCTTCAGGAGGAGACAAGAGTAAATATGTACTCACCCAACATGTACTCACAAGAGACTGCAGAAAATTTCAAGGTAGTGTTGATAGTATCTGAGCCAATGTAATTGTTGTGGAAATGGAAAGAATCTGGCTGATTTTAAAAACACATAAAAGGTAATAGATACAGTTTAGAAATGAATGTGACTGTTTGGATATGGACCTTGAGGCCTCAAAGATTGCATGAAGGACTATAACATTTATGGCGATTACAAAATTGGATACTTGGTAATGCCATTCTCTGAGACATAAAATGGTGCCACAGAACTAAGTTTAGGGAGTAGATTATTTATTCATCAATTTACTCCACACCTACTAAATTTTGATTTGTAAAGGACAGTTGTGCTAAGTACTAAGATAGTAGTGTAAAGCAAATTTCCAAGTTCTCTGTTTTCATAGAGCTTACATTTTAGTGAGATCACTCAGACCAGAAATAACTATGCAAACAAATAAATTGTTTAGACTATACCATTTTGTAGAGGAAATAAAACACCATGATGACATGGAGAACGATGGGGGCAAGGAAGCCATTTTAAGCAGGGGGTTCGCAGGTGATTTCTCCAGAATGATGTAACAGAGACTGAAATGGCAAAGTCAAGAGTTTTGTTTTAAATGTCTTCTGCTTAAGGTACCTTTGAGAAACCTAAGTAGAGACTAATGGAATAATCAAGAATGAGCAGGCAAAGGAGACAGAAAAAAGTCAGAGAAGAGATCTACAGCTTCTGTAGAGGAGAGGAAGGGGAGATTAACCTCTTACATGCCGTAATGTATTTGTTTAATTTGTATACATGTTTTTTTATTTGTCTGTATCCCCAACAGAAGGTTGCAAGATTTAGCAAATAGAAATACTGAATGCTCAGTTAAATTTGATTTTAGCTAAACATGGAATTTATTGATTAACTGATTGTTTGATACCCATGCACTATTAGAGACATATAAAATTATTCATCATTTTATCTGAAACTCCAATTTAACTGGATATCCTGTATTTTACCCAGCAACCCTATCACAAAAAGCACTTAGCAGTACTAACTTCTCCCTTCCTCCTCTCTCCCTTCCTCCCATCTCCTTCATTTTTCTCCTGATCTTCTCTTTCCTTCCTCTTTCATCCCCTTTCTTATTCCCAGATTTTCCACAGGGAACTTCAAAATCCTTACTCCTTCATCTTACAGAGTAATTCAGTTCTGCCGTTTTCTGCCTTTTCTAGTATATCACATGCCTCCCAATCAGAACGCTGTTTATAACCAATACTAGACAGATATGGGCTGACCTAGGTGAAAAGGCAAGTTGAAGGCCACAGCACACATTTACACGTGGATAGGTGCTGGTGTCAATAAACTGTCAGTAGATGAAACACAAAAACTCCATCTCATATTTTGTCCATATTCCCTAGATGTAAATATAGGAAGCACTTGACAATATTTTTCAAATGACAAAAGGCAAGATTGGATCTTCTTAAAGTTGTAAGCTACTAAACATGTTACTGGCTACATTTTAGTAGAAACTTCAGTTTTCTCATTTTTGCATAGAGAAGTTTAATACTAATAGTAAAAAGCAACAATAATAACAACTAATGTTCATTAGCTAATTACTACTTATGAGGCATTCTATTAAACATTTCGTATGTATTACTTTAAAAGTTCCTTTTAGCTTTAACAATGTGTGATTCATTGGCACAGCATGGTCTCAGATATGACAGAGTCTGAGGAAAATTTAGAGATACATTAATTAATAATGTGATGCAATTAAATAATAATGTCTAAACATTTCTAGGAGGAAAAAAAAAAGGTGTTGAAGTATGATGATCATCATAGAGACAAGAAATATTATTGGAAAAGCTCTCAGCAATTTGCAGTCTTCTCTCTATTAATTCCCAAGCTGGTTGAGCACAGCTTCAACAATGTGTCATGCCTCAACAATTTGTCTGCATGAGAATCATTCACAGACCTAACATTTCATTTGGTGTGACTACAAGGTGTGTGGTTGGTTGAGTAAAGTCACAAGCTACACAGATGTGAGGAGAATACGTTATTAATGGTGTTTGTAAGAAACATAATTTAGAATTTAAAAGCATACTTCTTCTGTGCAGTTCACTGGGCTTTACAAATATTTCATTAAGCTGTACTACCCTGCTGTCAGAAGGAGGTGACTATATGGCAAATATTATAATAAACAGCTATTGAGGGGCTATACAGATAAGGAAAGAACACTGCAACTCACAATATGTGTAGTTAAATGAGAATAGGAAATAACTATATCGACTTACATTGGCAGGCTGTGATAAAAGCTATATTGGCATTAGAGTAAGTTGAAGCCATATGAAGAAAATCCCTTTTTGGCTATCCCTCAAGACAGTCATGTGCACAGTGGAACCATAAGCCCCTCTGTGTAGAGTGCCACTGGAGCACTTGAAGTCATGCAAATTGCCTGTAGTGTGGTCAGAAAAGTTCACCTCACCCACATCTACCTTCCAAAAGAATTTCGTGTATGTGAAGCTGGTTATGCACAGAAATGCTTGTGAAAATGACATTTTTGGAAATTTGTCAGATAGTTTTGCTGCATACAAACCACCCCACATTTTAGTAGCTTACAGCATTAAGCAGATAAGGTTTGCCAGTTGGTGGGATTGTTCTTCTGGCATAGCCCAGTTGCATGTTTGATAGAGCTTACTCATGCATCTGTGGTCAACTGCAGGTTACCTGGGGTGGGTGGAGAGTCTTGCTTGCTCCCCTGTGTTTGTGCCTTGGCTGAGACAACACTGTCTCCTTCACATGAACTGCATTCTTCAGTATATTAGCCTGGAATTGTTCTCATTGGTGCAGCAGTGTTCTCAGAGAAACAGCAGAAGAGCAGATGGCCTCTGAGGCGCAGGCTGGCAACCAGCATAGTGTCATTTCTACCTCATTGTGTTGTTCCAACAGGTCACAACATCTGCCAAATTCATGGTTCAGGAAAGCAGACTACATTTTTATGGGAAGAGCTGCAACACTCACATTGTAAAGGCCTGAGTATACGTAAAGGAAGGAAGAATTTGTGGCTGTTTTTGAAATCTAACACAGTTGTATAGTGAACATGTGTTACATTTATGGCACTCAACCACTTTTGATCAGAGGTTCTTTGTTTAGGGAATTTACCATGTTGTAAGTACCACTTTTACTAAAAAACAGCAACAACAACAAAAACACAAAACAAAACAAAACAAACAAACAAAAAAGGAACTCTGTTATGTAACCTAGACCTAATAAATAAGATGTGCCTTTGTGAGATTTTGACTTGGAGTAGAGAAGATACTACGAATAATTCATTTCCTGGTGAAGATGGCAGAATATGGCCGAAAGACAGATGGCAGTGAACCCATTGGTGGCTTCCTGGGTATATGAATTGCCTCTCCTTGAATCCTATGTTGTGGGGTCTCCAAAGTGTGCTCCCATGCTGGTACAGGTCCTGGCTGCCGCACATTTAAGCTAGTTTCCCTGGCCCTCCCAGAGAGTTGGAGAATTGCTAGTATCCTTAAAAAATATTTTAAATTAGTGACAGTAATTTTCAAGGATTAAAACTAAGAGTCCTGACTGATCTAGTAGAAACATTGAATATTTCTTCATCTCTAAAACAGAATTAATAGTATACATTGAGAAACTGGTTCATAGTTGGCACTTAATAAATGATAGCTTCTGATCCTTATGTTTTCTAAGAAGTTTTCATAAAACAAAATTTCTTGTTTTTCTTCTACTGATATCACACCAAATCATACTGGTTAGTTTTATTTTATACTTAAGTGTAAGGTTCACACTTACTTTTTCGTAAAAGGTGAAATAGTTCAACTTTTCATTTATTTTTCCAGACAGAAGATAATAGGGCTGCATAATATAGTAAAATGTATTTGAAGAGAATCAAAGGTGAGTGTCTGGTCTCAATTCTGTCACATACATGATATAAGCAAGTCACATTTTTTGGCTCCTACATTACCCATGGGGAAAGTGGCTATCTTGTTCACCTCAGAGGATTACTCTGAGACTCATATAAAATATTAGAAGCACAAAGACTTTGAAACTACAAACTGCTATGGAAACATAAGATACTATTTTCTTAAAAAGGGATTTCTCATCTCTTTATCTATGTTATAAACAAATACAAATTTTGAAATTTTTAATATATTCTCAAAATGTACCTCTACTCTGAGCCTCCTTTAACATCGGTTTATATGTGTCCTCCATCCAGATTTAATTTAGATTGGTCCTTTCGTATTTTGAACTGAAAAACTTGACATTTATTCTTGCATCCTGCAAAATAAAAGGAGTTTACATCACCAAGGGAGGATTGTCTTCCAAGCCTGATTTCAGAGGAAATATCACTTTTTCTTCCTAGACCTGGCACTCTGACCTATCTATACAAAAGAAGTCAAAATTTATGTAAGGTGATGATGACTGTTAACCATAATAACACTGAAAATTATCACATTTATGGTGAGAATACAAAGTCATGAAATAATAGCTTCATGGTTCTGTCACATCGTATGTTCCTTAAGTAAATACAAGGAGTTTTCTCTTTAAATTTTTGACCTAAATCTTTCTTCTTTATACACTTTATAGTTTACAGTTATTTTCAACACTTTAACTTGTTGTTTTCTTTTATATGCTCCATGGGAGAAAATTATCTAAACAATAAACAAAAAAATAATAATTATACATGGTTGACAACAAACTGAGCAATAAAATTATGTGGTACAATGAAAATTGAATTTAAAAACTGCTTACATGAAGGAATACAACCAATTATTTAAAAAACATAAAAACATAATACAGTGTTTGAAACTACAAAAAGGAAATACAAAAACAATGGTAAGTAATTTATCAGAAGTTACACTTTAAATTAAGTAAAGGGCAAGTGAGACTTTAGTTAAACTTCATCTTCTTTCATTTATTTTATTGAAAGTTTAGTTAAATTCTCATAAATTAGCAAACTTTGTTTCTTTCTTGTTTTTAATTTTTTGATAATGATTTCATATTTTTTTCCTAAATTTTTTTATCCATAAAATCTACAAAGTTTTTGTTTTCATTTCAGAAATTGCTCTTTCCAAACCTTAAGTGGACCTCCAATCAGATATTATCAGTCTTAGTAACAATACTTAAAATTGTTCGATGGCCTTTCATACTTCTTTAAAAAGTATCCAACTCCTAAAGAGAACTATGAGTGCTTACGTGAGGTCGCCATGGCCTACTGTTATCCTCATAATCTATCACTCTTCTCTTCACTCACCAACTTCACTAAACCACAACAACCTCTCTTCTACTCCACTGCATATGCCAAGACCTTACATAATCGAATTCTCGTGTTTCTCTCCAACATCATTTTATTCTGTTCTCTACTCAGTATTTTTCGGCCACAATGATTTCCATTCTGTACCTTTAACATGTGAAGACTTTTCTCAGCTCTCAGGGCCTGTGTTGACCAATTTCTCTACCTGAAACCATCTCCCTTTTCTCATTGTGTGGTCTGTTTTTTCTCAAACTCCAGATGTGAGCTCAAATGTCAAATGTTCACAGAGCCTTTTCTTTACCACTCTGTCTAAATCATATCTCTTCTCACTGTCTCCTATAACTCTGATTATTTACTCATAAATAACATTTATCTTATTTATCTTATTTATTTATTTATTTATTTATTCACTGACTTGCTTGTTGTCTGTCTCTGAAGAGGAAGTTCCTTGAGAGCAGGGAAGGTGCTGTATTTCCAGTGATATGCTCACAGCACCTACTGCAATGCCAACACAATCATTATTTCTTGAACTACTAATCTGTTGCTATCCTTTCTGGTAATCTATATTTTGTGCTATCTTTTCGGGACAATATTCTCTTTCTCTTACTAAAATCTTACATTTTCTCTGAGACATTTGACTTATTAACCCACCACACAAACATTTTTATAATGTGTCTAGTCATTGATTACCAGGAGTCATATAAGAAATAAAATTTTTATTTTCATATATTAACAAGGAAAGATTCATTTTGGCATATCCACTATCTTGACATGCTGGATATATATTTTTTTTTCCAGTAACTAATCTCATTCTCAAAGTCTTCTGTGCTCTTCAGGTATGAAAGACTGAGAACTGCTTTTCCCAGAATCACTTTAATACAGAGTTATGGATTAAATTCCACCAGTTTACATGAGAATTGCAAGGCAGAAGAAGAACAAAGCCTAATATTGTTCTAATAGCAGCAATGAGTCTCTCATGATCTTTACCACAGAGTAGATACAGGTTTTCCTGTAGCTCATGAGCTTTTATAAAGAATTACCGGCTTGTTGTTATAGAAAGCCAAGATTATCCAGCGTGTTTTTTGATATTTATTGTTCTACTTGATTTCCTAACCATTGGGGACAGTAGCTCAGATCGTTGTACCCCAAGCTTTTCAATGTATGTGGGGTGTATGTGTTTTTATGTGTATGTGTGTATGTCTTAATGCTTTTAATTCATTTGATAAATACTTTATTTAATACCTACAGAGTATTTTTGGTTTTTTCTCCCAACTAAACAATAATTGGTTAATATCCCATAAATAGATTTTAATACAGTGATTCTGCTGCCAAACTTATAAAAATAAATGACCTGACAACTGTATGTGCTGGCATTTTTGTGAGAGGACCTCGAAATATTCCCAAATTCACAAAGACTGAAGGAGAGACATAAGATTTGAATCTCTGAGGTGAAAATTAGAGGTAGACTAGTGACGCCCAAAACTGTAAATAAATAAATAAATAAGTGCAGTTCAGGACATCAGTAGGAAAAACACAAAAGAGAAGATAAAATGGAGCAAAACTGACCTTACTTAGCTCATAACATTGAAGAGACTTCATTTCCTTCCTTCAGCCCGAAAGATAAAACAGTTTGGTTATGATCCAAGTAGATTGTGATGGAAGTTCTCCATATTGTGCAATAAGTTATTCAAAAAGCAGGATATGTGATAACGTGGCTAAGTCCAGAATGCTGATGAAATAAAACCAGCTGACTCAATAGCCAAGTGAGCCATATGGAATACATTTCACGAGCTTAAATGACTTTTTTTTTGCACCATTTTGGCCAATGGAAGCTCTGGTGTGCATCCAAATATTCATGTAAAAATGGGCCAAGATGACTGATTCAAATTGGAAGTCAACTAGTCACAAAGTGCTGATAAAATCTACTCTCCCACTTGGTGTCTTAAATGTGTGTGTTGGGTGAAATAATTATTTTTAAACTCAAGATCTTTTGACTGACTTATGAGTATACCTGTGATATGGAAATATATTATTCCACATATTTATTTTATATTTATGTCTAGCCTATTAGGACACAGGCTCAGTGGAAGCAAGGTGTATTTTGTTCTGCTGTTAGTTTGCTTTTTTCCTCTGCTATATCCTCATTAACTAGAATAGTGACTGTATTTGTTGGCTGAATGAGGAAATGAATTAGAGAATACAACTAGTTAGGCTAGTAAAATTATTGAGATATTCAACTATCAAAGGCTATCAAGGTTTCTCTAAAATGCCTCCCCATGGATACATTACCTTCAGCAGTTCTCAAACTTCTGGCCTTAGGGCTTCTTTACACTGATGGAAAATATTGAAAAATACAAATGGCTATAGTGTATGTAGTTTATAAATATCAGTATTTATTGTATTGGAAATTACCACTGAATTTTAAGACACATGTATTAATTCATGTTAAAATAATAAGTCTATTGCATGCAAACATAAATATTTTTGTAAAAAATAACTATTTTCCAGAATAAAAAAAAAAGTGAAAAGAGTGACATTGTCTTGCATTTTTAAATTCTCTTTGACATCTGTCTTAATAAAATAAAATACCTGAATTCTCATATCCACTTCTGCATTTAATCTTTGTGAATATGGTATATTGGTTGAAGTACGTGAAGACAATTTAACCTCATGCAAATATGTGTTAGTAGAAACAAGTATGTTAATTGCTTTTCAGACACTTGTACTCCTCTCTTATACTACACCAAAACTTATCAAATCATGGCTAGTTAGTTGCAATGTAGAATCCAAAACTCTATCAACGAACTATTTACACTGTGTTGCATTAAAATCGTATGGATTCACCATGTTCTGTGAAAGTATGTTTTACCTTCGCATGATTATGTAGCATTGTTTATTGGCTATTTGAAATGTATTTGTTCACTGACTTATTAAAATACTGCAAATATTTACACCTTTCATTATATAATATTTATAAAGCATATTTATCAATATCACATCCAATCTCATCAGAAATGTCTTTATAGTGAAACTCTCAAACTCATGGGAGTCGATATATGTTTTCTAAAATTTTAATTTTCAGGTGAATGCTCAACTTTTATTATTAGCAAAAATTATTATTATCTGTTTTTCATGAAGTGACAGGCTCACATTATTTAATATTGAAGAAATGCTTGACAAATACCCAATTCTCAATAAACACAGTCTGCCAATCTGTCATTTTTCAAGTATAAATTGTATTCAGTGAAGAAAAGCAAATATTTCAGCTTATAATTCAAACAATTGCCAGTGATTCTCCTGGGAGCAATCATTATGAAATAAAAGTGTTTTGCATATTTCCTATTGTATCACAATAAATACTACAAAGATATGTACTCAAGATGCAAGAAGTAATAAAATTAAAAATTGTTGTATTTCATCATTCTGAAAGGAAAAAATTATTTCCTCTATCCTTAAGCTCAATACAGAACTCTTCTGTAACCAGAGGTGTGTTGATTTTTCACCACAGACCAAGCAGTTCCTTAGCAGATGCTGTCTTAGTGCATTTTGTGCTGCTCTAACAGAATACCTGAGACTGGGTAACTTACAAAGATCGCAAATTTATTTCTTACAGTTCTGGAGGCTAAGAAGTCTAAGATCCATGGCACTGGCATCTGGTGAGGGCTTTCCCTCTGTGTCCTCATATGGCAGGAAGTTGAAGAGTAAGTATGAATCCACTTCCCAAAGCCCTTTCAAGAGAGGCATTAATCTATATGACGGCAAAGCCCTCTCAACCTAAACACCTCCCAACACTATTGCACTGGAAATTAAGTTTCCAATGAATGAAGTTTGGAGGACACATTCAGATTATAGCATTCCACTTGGCCCCCAAAACTCATGTTCTTCTCCTTCTCATATTTTATTTTATCCCAACAGCCCCGAAAATCTTAATGTTTTTCAGGCTCAAATTTTCCTACAGATGTGGTCTGTAAATTAAACAAGTTATATACTTCCAAAATACACTAGCGAGCCAGGTCTAAGGTAGATATTCCCATTCCAAAAGGGAGAAATAGGAAAAAAAGAAAGAAGCATCAGGTCCCAAGTAAGTACAAAACCCAACATGGCAAACAATATTAAATCCTAAGGCTTGAGAAAAAATGTATATATATTTAATTGCATGTCTTGCCACCTAGACACACTGGGGTGGGAGTTGGGACCCTGAGGCTTTAAGCAGCCTTGCCCCCATGGTTTTGCTGTGTGCGGTCCACACTTTATCTCACACGTTGAAGTTGTATGCCCGCAGCTTTCCCAAACTGGCATTGCATGCGAGTGGTGCTACAGTTCTGGGGTCTGAGGAGAGGCCCCACTCCTATGGTTCCTCTAGGCATTGCCCTAGTGAAGACTCTCTGCACTGTCTCCATACCTGCAGCAGGTCTCTACCTGACTCTGAGACTATCCTATAATTCAATTCAATTCAATTCTGACACTATCTACCTGGAAGTAGTGTCAGTACCACCTTCTAACCCCAAGACTGGCTACTTACCAGACTGGCTACAAACCAGAGTTCATGTAGCTCCCTTCTTTGGATTTGATTAGCTTGCTAGAACAGCTCACAAAACTCAGGGAAACACTTATGTTTACCATTTTATTATAAGGGAAATTACAAAGGATACAGATGAACAGCTAGAAATGTTTGGGGCAAGGTCTGGGGTGGTGCAGAGCTTCCACGCCCCTTGGGTGTGCCACAACCCAGCACCTCTCCTCCATGTGTTCAGCAACCCAGAAGTTCATCAAACCTCACTGTTGCAGAGTTTTTCAGATCTTAATATCCAGCCTCCTACCCAACCTTTCCTGGAGGTTGGTGGGTGGGGCAGCAAGTTCCAAACATTCAATTTTCTAATCACTTCGTCTTTCTGATGACTGGCCTCATCCTGGGGCTTTGCGGGGGCTTCACCCTAAGTCACTTCATTAGTATAAATTTAGATCAAAAGGGGCTAATTACGAAGAACAAAAGACATCCTACCACCCAGTAAATTCCAAGTGTTTTGGGTTCTCTGTGATAGGAATTAGCAACAACAACAACAACAACAAAAATATGTTTTATATTATGGCACAATCATGATCTTGCTTTTTTTCTGTCAGAGTATGGAGCTGAAGAATATAATGGTACTACTACAGTTAGTACTAGTACTTTGATTTATGTTAAGGTACCAGTAGTTTTACCCATGGCTGTTTTCTTACCAATACAGAAAATATCATAGCGGGTAAAAAGCAGATAATGTTTTAGTATCACTATGACCCCCTGCTACAGACCTCCTAAAAGAGTTTCAGGTCCACCTACGGGTTTGTAAACAGTACTTGGAGAACCAACACCTTGAGTGATTTTTAAAGGTGAGTTTCTCAGTCATCTAAGATTAGAATCCTGACACTTGGTAGAATTAAAATCAGACTCATTTATGTAAAGCAGGTTTACACAGGTTGCTAGAGCAGGATATGCACCTGAATGATATATTTTAATCATAAAAGGAAATATAACTGCCACACAATTTGGTTGTCTTTCTACTGGTGTTGTCAGAGGTGTTGGAACCAAAGTGACTCCATCTTGAATAGAGGCTAGGTAAAATAAGGAAGAGTCCTATCGGATTGCATTTCCAAGAGTTTAGGCATTCTTAGTCAGAGGATGAGATAGGAGGTCAGTGCAAGATACAGGTCAGAAAGACCTTGCTGATAAAACAGGTTGTGGTAAAGAAGCCAACCAAAACCTACGAAAACCAAGATGGTGATGAAAGTGACCTCTGGTCGTCCTCATTGCTCATGATACACTAATTATAATGCGGTAGCATGCTAACAGATGCTTTCTCCAGCGCCAACGTTTACATTGCCATGGCAATGTCCAGAAGTTACCCTATATGGTCTAAAAAGTGGAGGAACCCTCAGTTGCAGGAATTGCCCAGTCTTTTCCAGGAAACTCATGAATAATCAACCCCTTGTTTAGCATCTAATCAAGAAACAACTATAAGTATACTTGGTCGAGCAGCCCATGCCATTGCTCTGCCTATGGAGTAGCCATTATTTTATTCCTTTACTTTCTTAATAACTTTCTTTTATTTTATGGACTAGCCCCAGATTATTTATTGCAGAAGTCCGAGAACCCTCTCTTGGGGTCTGAATCGGGATCCCTATCTGGTAACAGTGTCAACAAACACCTGGGGTTCTCTTTTTTCCAGGAACATAGTAGGCTTACATTTCTCTGCCCGTTTTTCAAATTAGGCCATGCTATGTACGTTGTTTTGGTCAAACTGAGCGGCAGTGCTCACTGAAATTTCTTGCTAGTCTTTAAGACTCAGCAAGTAGACTGATACACCATGCTTCCGCTAGGGGGAGCCAAAATTAAGCCAAGACCCTCCTCTTTGTGGATCATGTTGACCCAACCCACTTCAGGTGAAAAATTCCGAAAGGATAGCAAGCTCTGTGCCCCGACACACTTGGTACCTGGATGTGGATGAGCAAGAAGCTCAGCCAGCCCTGCAAAATTCAACTCCAAATGAAAGGGGGACTGGGGATTTACTCCACTCACAGCCCAACGACATCATGCAATGCTGTGCACCTGATGCTAATACTTCCCCAGCTATACTCAGAACCGTTGTCAGGGGTAGATGGGAACATGAGGTAGCTGAGGACTAAGCTGGGAAAGGGAAGGCTATGTGGAACTGTGGCAGGCCAGGTCTCACTAACAGCTGAACAGGCAAGCCTGCATGACTATTTCAGCCCTGACTGAGTGGTGAAGTTAAATACTAAAAGCTGATAGAGTCAGTGCCCATATACAAAGGCTGGAATGGAACAAAAGCCCACCAAGATTTTTGCCCAGGCCTTTCCTTGGCCTTGAAGCATGACAAGATAATGAAAGAATTCTTAACAGGACCTGTTTAGAATTAAACAAGTTTTATTGGGGGTCTGGAGAAACTCTCCAGATCTCCACAATTTTTACTGGGGATCTAAAGGAAATCCCCAAACCTCCATGATTTAGCAGGACACAAGATAAAGGTAATCACCCTTGGCACCTGGACCCATCTACATTAAGTAAATTTACCAAGACTCCATAGGAAGGTCTTCAGGACTCAGACCTTAGTTATAGATAAGAAGTTAAACATCTACATCTTTAGATGAATGCACACTTACATATAGACATACAGCTTAAAAGCTATATGAGCTCCAGAAAATTTTGTAATTTTGAGTTGGTCTGGTGATATTTTCCTCGTCTTCTCCCTGTACTGGGTTACAGAAATAAACTCTCTTCTTTCCCAGTTCATCTGCATCACATTTTTGGACCACCAGAATAAGCAATCCCACCCTCGGTTCAGTCTGGGAACAGAACACATGGCTCTAGGATGTTGGGGAGCCTGTGGCAGAAAAACCTTCATGGGAAGGGTGGGAGACAGGCATAAGTGAGCTAGGCTTCAGGTCCCAGTGCCTGGTTTCTTGTTTCAAGGAATTTACTTACAAAATTCACTTTGACAAATAAAATTATTAGAACTATTAAGATGACAGGTTTGGTTTCTCCTGAGTCTTCTCTCTTGGATGTAGAGATGGGATGGCTGCCTTCTCACTGAACTTCACAGATAGTTCCTCTGTGTATGCACATCTATGGTGTTTCATTTTGTGTCTAAAATTTCTTCTCTTTCTTTTCTCTTCTTGACACCACTCAAGTTGGATTAGGTTTCACCTTCACAGCCTCATTTTAACTTAATCACTACTTGAAAGGCCACCTCCAAATAAAGTCATGGATTAGGGCCCACTCATATGACCTCATTTAACCTTAATTGCCTCTTTACAGTCCCTATCTCCAAATACATTCTGAGGTACTGGGGGTTACAACTCGAACATAGGAATTTTGGTAGAACACAGTTCACCCATAATAACATTCTCATTCCCACCACAGATTTAAACTTCATTAATGTCCTGGACTATTTTCATTCATAAATCTCTGTCCCTATCTATATATGTCCATATATATTGATTTATTTAAACATATAATATAATTTTACAAAGATTATATGGATAACTTTTCCCTTAAAGTAAAATGCTATGTAAATGTAAGCCCTCCAGGTGGTTCTCTTACAATTCCAGACTACCTTCAACTTTCTACCATAAGGTTTAATGTGCATTTTTTTCAGTTATTTTAGGTATTTCACAAATATATTTAAGTGCCTAGATATTCTTTATATTTTTTTTTAAGGACATTTTTGAATGTTTTAATCACCTTTCAAAGGCATAGCTAGATCCAGAGCCACTAAGATCAATGGCTGTTTGGAGTTCCCTTATAATTGCTTTCAAGAAGTGTATGTGGGGTCTGGGGGAGGGTGTGTGTATGTGTAGACAGTTAGGCTGGGGGAGAGGACTTGAAGGCTGTTAAAAGTCTAGGTCTGCTTTATTAGCCTTAAATAAAATATTTGGGAATGACCTTTTCATCCTGGTCTAGTATTTTAGATCAGAAAATAAAAATGCAGATTTGTTTGCTATTTGCATGAGTTTTATATTTGTCCATGCTAATTCAAATTGACTTTATATGTGTGAAGCCATTAAGTATCAAAATTACAAAATTATAAAATTACCTTTATTTTAAGTACCTCTTTAAAATCAGTTTATGTGTCAACTACTCAGGAATTCTATCTCACGATCATCTTATGTTGCAGCCAAGTCTCTTTGCACATTTTCAGCTGATATTTGAGGCAAACCAGTTTTAGGTCATTGTTAACTCCTATTTCTTTCCCTGGAGACAGATTTTTAAGAGAAATAGAATATTTCAGTCTAATAATCTGCAAAATTTAAACAAAGAAATAAATGCATACATATATATGTAAATCTCAAGTAAATTTCAAATTAGTTTTCAACAAAGCTACTCAAAACTTAGCCAACAAAAAGTAAGAGTTGGTCCTTGTATGGAGACTTCATTTTATTACCTGTTTAGGCATCAGTGTGTGAGTTGAACTACTTATATTTACTCAATATATGTTTACTTTTTCTGCGAACAAAATAAATAATCCATCATTTAATTATTATTTAATTTTAAGAGTAAATGGTTAATATATGGAATTCTCCATGGTTTCATAATATTAATCTACAAAACACTTTCTAATTGCCCTTCAGGTCAAAGGCTCTGTCATCAAATTTACCAGGCACTGCCTAATTCAGTTTCATCTCTGTATTTTTGTATTTAGTAAGAACATTCCTTTCTTTAAAGAATAGGAACAATTTCACATGGTTTTTATTGTGTTCAACTTGCTTCATGTGTTGATTTCCCTCCCCTTTTCTATTAACTCTACAATTTTTATCAGAAGTTCTATTAATGATAACATTCTCTTACTACCAAAAACTAACAAGATCCACACATGGGCCCTTTTTTTTTTTTTTTTTTTTTGAGACAGAATTTCACTCTTGTTGCCCAGGTTAGAATGCAAAGTGCAATGACGTGATCTTGGCTCACCACAACCTCCACCTCCCAGGTTCAAGGGATTCTCCTGCCTCAGACTCCCAAGTAGCTGGGATTACAGGCATGCACCACCACACCCGGCTAATTTTGTATTTTTAGTAGAGATGGGGTTTCTCCATGTTGGTCAGGCTGGTCTCAAAATCCCGACCTCAGGTGATCCACCCACCTCGGCGGCTTCCCAAAGTGCCGGGATTACAGGCATGAGTTACCGCGCCCGGCCTGACCTTTCTTAATACTGTCATAGCACAGTTGATTACCTATATACATCATAAAATTTAAGTTTAATAAGACCCCAGTGGCTATTCTTTCATTTCTTTTTGAATGACTAATAAGCATATTTTTAGCTTCTAAGGTTGTAGTATTAATTTAATTTTGTTAATTTCTTACTGATATGCTATTACTGTTCACATACACATCTATGGCAAAGTAAACCCATTGTCTATAAAATATGTAAGCCAGACATACACACACACACACACAGATGTAGAGTAGATATTACATAAAACATGTAAGTCAGACACACACCCACGTGTGTGTGCCTAAGAATTGTATCTACTCTGCATCTTTGCTTACTAATTAAAATTCAAGCTAAAAATTGTGGTGCAGTTTTGCATACTCAAGTGAGTGGTTCTCTCTCTACATAAATGGAAAATATTTAACCCAAACAGCAGTTCTCATGCCATAGCAGGCATTCTTAATTTCCATGAATTCAAGTATCCTTTCTTCAAAGTGCTGAAACTAGTTTTGATTACTCTCTGATTATACTATGGTGATGGCTCAGGAACAGATGTTTCAGTTTTTTAAAAAAATCATATATCTATAAACATCTTAAATCAACAATATTTACTTTTTAAAATATTATGTAAATGTTCCATGTAGTAAAACAATTGCAAATGTTATACTTACGGTACGTGTAAATGTTGCTTTTTTTCTAATCATCTAGTTGTAATTAATCATCAGAGGTAAATTTCATATGCATTTAATTGTGACAATTTCACAATTAATAAATGCAATCAATAATTTGCAATTGCAGCTTTTTTCCTAGACTGCCATATTCTTCTGTTCGAGTTGCATTAACAAAATACCACAGTCTGTGTTTCTTGAGCAAGAGAAATTTATTTTCTCACAGTTCTGGAAGCTGAAAGTTCAAGATCAGCTGTCCAAAATGACAGCAGGATTGGTTCTTCCTAAGGCCTCTTTCTGACTTGCAGATGGTTTCCTTCTTGCTGTGTCCTCATGTGATCTTTTCTCTCTGTGTGTATGTGTCCATCTCTGATGTTTCTTCCTTTTATTATAAGGACACTAGCCCTATCAGATTAAGAACCCACCTTTATGACCCTATTTAACTTTAATCATGTCTTTAAAGGAACGATCTCCAAATTCAGTCATACTGGGTGTTAGAGCTTCAACATATGGATTTGGGGGAGGCTCAATTCAGCCTATGACGACTGCTCTTCTCCCTTGAGCAAATTGTTGATACCATATAATAAGCTGACCAGACTTGTCTCTTTAATGGCTTGGATTATGAAACTTCAAATAACAGTAACAGTAACAACAAAATGCCTGTGGCTCATCAAGGCTGACACAATGGGGTATCTACCAAGATAAGGCCGGTAGTTTAAGTTCCTCAAAAATGTACTGCTGGTGGCTGGGCGCAGTGGCTCACGCCTGTAACCCCAACAGTTTAGGAGGTCAAGACCAGTGGATAACCTGGGGTCAGGAGTTTGAGACCAGCCTGGCCAACATGGTGAAACCCCATTTCTAGTAAAAATACAAAAATTAGCTAGCCGTGTGGCATGCGCGGTAGTCCCAACTACTCGGGACGCTGAAGCAGGCGAACCTCTTGAACCCGGGAGGAGGAGGTTGCAGTGAGCCGGGATAGCGCCACTGTACTCCAACCTGGGTGACAGAGTGAGACTCTATCTCAAAAAAAAAAAAAAAAAAAAATTCACTGCTGGTAAGAGGAAAGCTTGACGCTAAGTCTTTTAAACTAATTTTATTTTTTTTTGGCAAACTGAAAGTATAGCCAAATTTTCAAGGACAAACTTACGTAAATCAATTTTTTTTTACTGATATGGAATACAGTAATGTCCATTGATCAATTTTTAAAAAAAAATAATAATCCCCCAAGCTAAAATAGTCATATTGGCAAACTATAGGAGGACAAAGAGAGATTTTTGACGTGTTTTGAGGATCACCAAGTATTTCTATTATGTTTGAAAGCTTTTTTGGAGCCTTTTCTGCAAAAACTATCTATCTGCATGTAAACATAGTATTCGATACACAATTTCCTTGAGATGTAATTAGTAAATCTCATCTCTTTGATTGCATTTACCATGTGGCTCTTGCTTTGGGAATAAGAGGAACTTGATTTGTAGACATTGAACAGGTAAGCTCAATACCTGTTCACATAAAGAAAAAATATAGTTCAAAAGGCCCTGGTACAATATCATCCTAGTAGAGAACACTATAAGCCCTGTCTGTATTTAGGTTATGCAAGACTCAGGCAAGAGCTAGGACTGATCAGATCAAGGTATTAGTTTTGGCAGGATCATTAAAACTTGGCAAATGGGTGTCTAAAACAAACTTACAACATCAAGGGGTTTATGGGGAGAGGAATTGTATTGGTGTTTCCATGTGTTATATATTATTTTTCTGGGGCAGACTGATAAGGCTGAATTTTACCTAAGCCCAGTGGTTCTGGAAACATAATGGTTAAGAAATCTCCCCACCCTTCTTACTGCAAATAATACCCTTCCCCATATCACTTACCTAGGACTCACAGATGCTCCCCTTGTTTTCCTATGGCACAGAGTTTCCAAATTCCCATTCTTTGCCTCATAATTAGCTGAACTGCTAGTCCCTCCCTAATTAGCTGGAACAAAATGTGTTTTAGCCCAACTGTGCTTAAGTTTATCTTCTTCCTCCAGGTCCTGGGACCTCTATGAACTCTCAGGCTGAGCCAGCATACAACTCCTCCTTAACAGCCCTCCTGACAATAGGCTGCTCCCAGGGTAAACATTTCTCTAATCCACCATCTGAACACCCAACCCTTCTAATCTACTTCCTACAGCCAGTTTTTTAGTCTTGTTTACTCTTCCTCCCGGTGAAAGAGAAACTCTTTTTTCCTAACTCTTAAGATACTTGCAGAATGTTATAGTCACAGAATTCTCCCTATTTTAATAGTCTCCCTGCTTCAACTGTTATAGTCCTGATTCCCCTTATTGCAACAGTCTTTTCAAATAAAGTATTCAGTGGATGCAAAAGTAATTGCAGTTTTTGCCATTGAAAGTAATGGCAAAACTGTAAATACTTTTGCACCAAGCTAATATTTTCATACTACAACCAGATTTGTTTCTTATTTGACAAGACCAACATTTTTCCTTCGTTTGGTGTCCAGTATAGTTTTCATTATGTAATAAATAAGAAATATTGTTTGGGAGAGTAATCAGTTGAATTGTCTCCACACAATACACAACTTGGCCTTTACTCGATTTTCTTATAGAAACTAAGATAGCATCTGATACTTACTAGTATAGTCACACACAAAGAAAGACAGAACAAGAAAAACATTAGGAAGGACAAAAATATATTAGATGATAGATGAGAGTTTCTCCCACAATATTATAGTTTAAGTTATGCAACAATCTATAAGGTAGATGTTCTTACAATTGATATTACAAAAACTGGGATACTACATTGAAAGTCAAAAAGCCAGCCTCCAGACTGGGAGAAAATAAATTTATCTTGCTTAGGAAACTCAGATTGTGGTATTTCATTAATGCAACCCGAACAGACTAATATGGCAGTTGAGAAAAGCAAAGCTGCCATTGCATATTACCGATTGAAATTATGAATTGCCAATAATTCAATCTAAGACAAGAAACTAAGCTCTTAATCACAGAAATAAGGCATTTTCTAGAACAATTTGTTATATTATAATTATCCCAGTAATTCTAATAAAAAGTGAGGAAGAGCACTTAATTTCAGAATTTTGAAGAAAATGTTTCTAAATATGACCAAAAAAAATGAACCCATAAAAACATATGTACACACTACAGAATAGTAAATATTATTGCTACATATTGTGTATATTTTGTTGTAATTTACATTGATTTTTAGAATGAACTGTAATACTACAAAAATTATGTGATTTTTCTCTAGTAGAAAGGTCGAAATACAAAATTATTAGTAATTTGTTTTCTAAGTGAACCTACATATTCCTTTGGTTTTATTTGTTGGTTTATATTATTTTAATTTAATTTTCTCCATGCGAAATACAATGGATTCATCTGAGAAGATGAATTGTAAGTTTCAAGATATTTTAATCTGATTATAATTTGTTTGTATTTTCTTTAAATCTTCAAATGTACCTGGCAGTGGTTCAGTGGCTGAATGATGGAATTTGACCTAATTGAATACTTTTATTATAGATATTAAGAGGACTTTAGAAATTATCCGTATTCTATTTTCTATACTTTGTAGCACAGAAAACCAAAGAAACATGAAATCAAGCATCTTGCCAAAATATCCAGAAAAGGAGAGAAGGAAAGTATAAAAGCAGTTGCCTAAGCCCATCTACACCCTTACTGTGCTTCAAACCTAATTTACAAACATGAAATAAGATCACAGTTTTTCTTATTATATAGTATCATATGAAAGCTATTTTTAGATGGCAAAATACATAGTGCATTGAAGAAAAAATTTTTGTGCAATATTGGTTATTCCCAAAAATGAAAATGACTGAACTCTGAGAAATGCTCTGTAAGTTACTCTTTCACAGAGGTAATTAAAATATCTCATTCACAAATGGATATTTCAGCCCATCTATTCATTAATGATAAAATTGGATCCGTCTATAGCCTGTCCTGCCAGTTTCCTGGCTGTCAATGTTCAAATGACCCAAATGAGGTATTAAGACACAGTTTCTTAATAAAGATTAAATATATTGTCAGGAGGTTTAGAAATGTGTTAAGTGCGATAAATCTGCTTTACATGTGAAAACATAATGGTTTATTTAAATAGTACCTTTATCACTGCAGCATATAAAACATTTTTGCTTTCTACCAAATAGAATATTAAACAATATATAGGTTTTAACATTTGTCAAATGAAAATTCAGATGATCAAAGATTTCAAGGATCTAGTTATGACATATATTTAAACTTCTATTAGAGAAACATAACTATCGTTGCTTGATTTTAAAAACTATAACATGGTTTTAAAACTATATACATTTTTGAAGTTTCAGGGAATACCACAGTTTTCTATGTGAAATACAGCAATGAAGGTGAAAAAATAAAAAATCAATAGCTAAAAAAGTAAATTTAAAAATGAGATTAAATTATGAAAGTATGTAATACATGGATTTATAAATTGAATAGGTAATAGAATTACATCAAAATAAATTATCGAAGTAAAACATAATTTATTTAATACAGCATATGTCTTGTGCCTCAGAATCTGACATAAATCAAACCACAAGTTGGAATGTTATCGAGATTCTCAATGAACACAAACAAAATTCATTATAAATATTCAAATAAAATAGGACTTGAAAAACAAGCAAAATGATTAGCTACAACAAAATAAATTTATTAAAACAAAAAAGCGTTTTTCTTTTTAAAAGAGTCTTTGTGATTACTAATTATAAAGCAAAATAATTTCTTTCAACCTTTATATATTTTAATTTAGTGTTAAAATCAGAAAAGATAGCCTGACCTGTAACACAAACTTTGCAATCAAACATCTCCATCTTTTATTTTATTAAGCTTATATCTGCACAAACAAGAGATGAATTATTCTAATGATAAATTCTGATTAAACAAATCAGCAAAGTAAATCAGCATAGCTAGAGAAAATATATACATCCTATTATGAAGGATTCAAGTGAAAAAAAAACGTAATTTTTTCATGAAGTCAATTGATAAGCAGAATAAATTCCAGTGTGGCTACTGCCCTGCCTGATTTTGCATAGGTGAGGTGGAGAATAAGATACCTCTTCTTCAGTAGGCAACTAGCCACTGACTTTTAGTGTTTCTCCATTCACATATAATGTACATACCACAAAGTTGACACCTTTTAAAGTGTACAGTTCAGTGGGTCTTAGCATATTAATGAGTTATACAACCCTAACTACTATCTGATTACAAAACATTTCATCACTAGAAAAGAAATCCCATACACATTAGCAGTCACCTTCCGTGCCCTCTATCCTACAGTGACTGAAAGTCATTCATCTACTTTTTGTTTCTATGTATTCATCTATTCTGTACATTTCATTTACATGAAATCAAAGGATGTATGGCTTTTTGTATCTGATTCTATCAACTATTATAAAGTTTTCAAGATGTATTTATGTTGCAGCATGTAGCACTTTATAGCCAAATAATATTCAATTGTATATTCAATAGTGTAATTCAATATTACATTTTGTTTCTCAGTTCACCAGTTGATGGATATTTGGTTGTTTTCATTTTTGGCAATTATGAAGAGTACTGCTATGAAGATTCATATACAACTTTTTGCATGAATATGTTTTCAATTGTCTTCTATATTTAGTAGTAATATTGCTGAGTATTATGGAAACTCTATGTTTAACATGCCGAAGAACTACCAGAAAGTTTTCCAAAATTGCTGCATGGTTTTTATTCCTTCTACCAAGGTATGAGGGTTCCAATTTTTCTACATCCTTGTCAACACTTGTTATTCTTTATCCTGATTATAGCCATCTTAGTGGGTATAAAGTGTCATTTCATTGTGGCTTTCATGTGCATTTCCCTAACAACTAGGATGTAAAGCAATTTTCCTATGCTTATTTTTTATTTTTATATCTTTCTTAGAAAATGTCTATTCAGATCTTTTGCCCATTTTTAAGATTGGAATGTTTATCTTTTTATTGTTGAGGTTTAGGAGTTATTTATACCTTCAGGAATCTTAATTTGTATCAAATGTATGATTTCCAAATATTTTCTCCCATTATATAGATTGTGTTTCTTAATAGTGTGTTTTGATTCAGAAACATTTTTAATTTTCATGAAGTTCAACTTATCATTTTTCTTTTGTTTCTTTTGCCTTTGGTGTCATATCTAAGAATCCTTGCTAAATTCAAAGTCATACAGATCTACTCTTGTTTTCTTACAAGAATTTTATACTTTTAGCTCTTATATTTAGGTTTTTTATTCACTTCCATGTGGTTTTTGCATATGGTGTGAGGTAAAGGTGCAAATTCATTATTTTATGTGTGTATATTAAGTTGTCCCTGAACCATTTGTTAAACAGACTCTTCTTTCCCCATTGAATGATCTTGGAAATAATGTAAAAAATTAATTGCTCAGATATGTATGGATGTATTGCTAGACTCTCAATTTTATTTATCTATGTTTACCCTATGTAAGTAACAAACTGTTTTGAATACTATAGCTTTATAAAAAATATTGAGCCTGGGCAGTATATGTACCTTATTTTCTTTTTTCAAAATTGTTTCACTCTTTTGGGTTCCTTTCATTTCCTTATTAATTTTAGGATACGTTTCTCAATTATTTCTTTAAAAAATTAGCTGGGATTTTGGTAGAGATTGCATTGAATCTACAGATCAATTAGGGAAATATTGTCATTTTAACAATATTAAGTCTTCTAATCCATGAAAATTTGATTTGTTCTAATGATTTGTCTCTTTGTTCTTATTTTTGTTTGTTTTGTTTTGCTTTTCTATTTTTATTATTGTCATTGTCTTTTTGTTGTTGTTGTTGCAATTTTTTTGCAGAGACAGTCTTGTCCAGGCTCGTCTCAAATTCCTAGGCTCAAGTGATCCTCCTGACTTGGCCTCCCAAATTTTTGGGATTACAGGTGTGAGCCACCATGCCTGAGCTATTTATCTTTTTCTT